GAGAGAGAGAGAGGGAGAGCCTCCAACCAACGCATCGCGTCCCTTGCCTCCTTCCCCGGGTGATATACGGGGGGGTGTCAGCAGCGGCGGCGGCAGCAGCAGCAGCAACACATCCTATATGGATGGACGTATGCAGCAGGCTCAAAGGGGCAAGGGGGTGAGGAAAGATTGACGACTAGGAAGGGGGGACGAGGCACAACGGACCGATGTACCCCGAGGGAATCGGGAGAATAGCCGACGACACCCTCCTTCTTCCTCAGCCACATGTGCGTCCATGTATGTATGCCAGCCAGCCAGCCAGGTTATATGCACATATCAAGTGCCATGTATGTACGTGCCTACCCCTGATCCTGGCCTGGCCGCTCGCTCACCGGCTGAACGAGAATAAAAACGCAGGGCCGATGACGCACCCATCTCACATCACACACACACACACACACACACACACGCACACGCGCACCCCCACATGGCACACATACACACACATACCAAGACCATGTGTCAGCGGGCTCGATATACATGTCGTGCGACCATACGCGGGTGGGATGGGCGATGTGACGGGGGGAATGAGCCCAGCCCGTGGGGTTGGGCGAGACTCCTTTGGAGGGAGCATGGATGACAAGAGACACAAAAGATCCCTGGGCTGACCTCTCGTCAGGGTTCAGGGGTGCGGCCTAGCGGCCATCCGACGCCGGCCAATGTCTGGCAGGCAAAAAAATAAGGGTGCCCTCTTGCCGCGAAGCAGAACCAAGCATATACAGTGGAGCAGAAAAAAAAGCACGGATCTCACCTAGGGGAGGTTGGGCGGGGAGGGAACCGGACCTAAACAAAGGTTTTGTTGGACGATAAACGCGGATGAGATGTGATTATTATTATTTCCTGGATCAGACCCGGAAGCAAGAAGAACGAGCCCCCAAAACAACAAGGTATCGCTGTTTTGGAATCCGGCCATATCTTGACCCGAAAAAGACGGAGAAAAAAACTAGGAAATCCCCCCACACGTGCCCTTTTTTGCTCTGCCGTCCATATGGTTTGGCAAATCCCATCCCCTAGACGGGCAGCTGATTACAGGAAACAGAGAAAAAGGAACCGAGGGAGGAGAGAAGGAAAACATATGACGGGAAACTTTTTCTTGAACCTGGGAATATGCCCCATGATTTTGTGCCCAGGCCACAGCCACAGAAATTTCTGACCACCCATTCCAATCCATTCCCTTTGGGATAATAAAAAAAAGGGGGGCCCGTATGGGAAAGAGAAAAATCCCCGAATGCCCGTCCATGAAACCTGGGAGAAAGTCCTGTTATCCCTCCCATCCCAAGATGTTATCCCTCCCATCCCATCCCGCCGAAATTGAGTCCGTTCCGTCATATCATCGTGTGTGTAATAGCGAAAATGAGCCGAGAAAGATGTTCTTTCCGGTCTCGCCACCGAGCTGCATTATGAGGGCGGGAGAAGCCGGGGAAAAAAAAAAAGAGGACATGTCCTCGTATATATGGCAGGGGCTGGCAACACGTGCTGCAGATGTGCTGGGTAGCGGAACCCTCCATTTTTTTGATGCCTTCCGAGGCCTGTGTTGTGACAGAGCCGTTGGCGTCTGGCGGCGTGGCGGCCCTCCTCATAGCAGGGGCGTCTTTTCGGACAGGGGCTGCTCCCAGGCCGCTGGCCTCTCGAAAGTGATTGTGCACTTCCTAGTGCTCTCCCCCGTGAAGGAGACAAGATTAGAACCCTTGGAACCCTTGCGGGGAGGGCCGTCCAGAACAGCACTGCGCCGGGGGAAGGGCGTTAAACGCAGGTTGTCGTTGTCATCACCATCCTTGCGGCTGCCCCACGTGGTCTGCAGAACAAAACTAGTCAGCGCCTTTTTCTCCCTCTCTCTCTGTCATTCAT